ATACAGTTTCTCTGTATAGCCCTAGTTGTCCCAAGAGCTTACTCTGTAGACCAAGCTGGCCTTGAACTCAGAGATCTGCCAGTCTCTGCCTCTCAAGTGCTGGGATTAAAGGCACGAGCCACTATACCCTGTTTAATAAAAATACATCTTTTTAAAAATAAGATTTATTTATTCATGCTTTTTTAATGAGGACCCTGTCTGGATGTACACCTGGATGCCAGAAGAGGGCATCAATTCCCATTACAGATGGTTGTGAGCCACCATGTGGTTGCTGGGAATTGAACTCAGGACCTCTGGAAGAGCAGTCAGTTCTCTTAACCACTGAGCCATCTCTCCAGCCCCGTAAAAATACATATTCTCTTTTGTTTGTTTTATTTTTTGAGACAGAGTTTCTCTGTGCAGCTCTGGCTGTCTTAGAACGTGCTCTGTAGACCAGGCTGGCCTGAAAATCACAGAGATACTCCTGCCTTCCGTCTCCCAAGTGCTAGGATTAAAGGCGTGTGTCATCACACCCACTAATAAAAGTACACCTTAAAGAGTAGTTAGGAAAAGTCCTAGGGGTGTCCTCCGTCTTGGTAAACTCCAACGAGTCACAGAAACCCGGGGATGGAGCATAAAAGCTGAGAGAGAGCAGGGTTGATGAGCAGAGCAGTCACTCTGTCATCCTGCATCTGTAGGTGGGGACACTCCCCACACGGTGCTGTCACAGCCACCATCAGATAGTCATCATCGGGTGGTGACAAGTCCTTCATGGAGGCTCCATCATGCCTGAGCAATGGCTCAGAGGAAATGGATCTGGGTGTCACAGAGGCAGACAATCACCGACACCGTAGCTGGGAATGGAAGAGCCAGCTCAGCAGGTCCAGGGAACACCCAGACACAAAGGCCTTGGACTTCCCTCATAAAACCCCACTGTTTGTCAGGAAATCAGGAAGCTGCCCATAGGTGTATTTAGCCCGGAAATGGCCTCCAGCAATGGGTACCAGGGGGCTCTGCTCTACGGGTGGTCGCCATGGCTCACAAGCGACTTCTCCCACATCACAGAGAGGGAGCAATCGGAAGTAAAAAAAATGACTTTTAAAAGATTTTATAAGTATGTGTACATATGTGAACCTGTGTGTGGGTATGTGCACATTTGCACGGGTGCCCTTGGATATCAGCGACCAGTGGCATTGGGTCCCCTGGGGCTGGAGTCGCAGGCAGTTGTGAGCACCATGTGGGTGCTGGAGACTGAAACAGCAGTGAGCACTCAACTTCTGAGCCATCTCTCCAGGCCTAGGAGGGAGTATGTTTGAGACAGGGTCTCCAATTTGCAGTAAATCTCCTGCCTCTGCTTCCTGAGCACTGAGATTACCTGGGATTACAGGCATGAAGCACCTCTGAGGACTTCCTTCTGAAAAGTCTGACTTCTTTCAAGACATATGTGAGTTTTTAAAAGGGCCATTCATTCATTCATTCATTCATGACCCATCACTTCATTCATTCATGACCCATCACTTCATTCATTCATTCATGACCCATCACTTCATTCATTCATTCATTCATGACCCATCACTTCATTCATTCATGACCCATCACTTCATTCATTCATTCATTCATGACCCATCACTTCATTCATTCATGACCCATCACTTCATTCATTCATGACCCATCACTTCATTCATTCATTCATGACCCATCACTTCATTCATTCATGACCCATCACTTCATTCATTCATTCATTCATGACCCATCAATTCATTCACTCATTCATTCATTCATTCATTCATTCATTCATTCAAGGCCTCACTACATAGCTCTGGCTGTCCTGGAACTCACTCTGTAGACTGAGGCTATCCTTGAACTCTGATCTGCCTTCCCCTGTCTCCCAAGTGTTGAGATTAAAGGCATGCACCACTAGGTCCAGCTGGGACCTTTCTTTCTGGGATATCAAGCCACCTCTCTAAAGTTACAGCGGGCTACAAGATGTTGACCTTCAATGTATTCTCAAGAACAAAGGCATGGGACTCCTGCCCGACTTTTACACTGGGGATGCTATTGCCAACTGGTAGTATCTAGAGACCTCTGTGGCTGTTACAAATCACGGAAGGAAGCATGAGTGAAGCTGACATCTAGTGGGTGGAGGCATGGGTGGGTGGGTACTGCTTGGTGGCCTGCAAAGGAGGGCTCTGTGACTAATGATTATCTGGCCGAGATGTCAGCAGTGGCTAAGTTGGAAACTCTTGCTTCAGATCCCTCAGAACACTGGTTGTGGGAAAGAAGCCACTTTGCCCTCCCCTCCGAGGTAAGGCTCCTGCAGCTAAGGAGCTAGTATTCGGGTTGTACCAGAAAGGCCTATGAGGAATAGGTTCCCAGGCCAGGTGGATTTTAAAGACCTTCCTGGTTGATTAAAAACCAGGCATTGTAGCTGTAGACAAAAGCCAGAGACGCTGCTGACAATTCAGTATGCGTCCTAGGATTCTGTTAGCCACAGCCGAGCAGAGTGTGCCACTCCTCAATTGGGGTGTCCACCGGATTTGTCACTCAGCATGGTTTAGATCTCAAGGTTCCTGATTTAGGGACATCGGAATGGTGGTAACTCTGAAATCCCTAACGACCCCGGTCCTAAGCATTCTGGGTAAAAGGGACTCCCCAACGTCCACCACTTATCAATGATGGAGAATAGATACTACAGGATGTCACTGCCTTATTCCACAGCACGCACCTCGCATGACCCCACATGAGTCTGAGTGGGGCTCTGTTGCAGATGGGGCTCTGCTGCAACCTCCTAGGTTGTCGTCAGTTTCTTCTCTCACAGGGAATGTGGTACTCAACCATCCTCCACCATTTGTGCACTTGTAAGGACTTCTAGACACGTACTTGATAGGTACAGTGGGCGTGTCCATTTTAAAACACACTTGGATTATCAAGGACTGACCCTTTTCTTTGCATTACCTGAGTCCCCCCTGGTTTCCCTGAAAATAAGAGATGTGAGTCACCCGGATGGGACCACTTGACAGCAGTTTGCTAGCCTAGAGTATAAGCAAGTGTCAAATGCTACAAATGCCAAGCAGCTCTGACTGCAGCTGTCTCCCGTCATGCACAGGATGTTTGACCTGGCGAAGCTGATACTACAAAACTGAAACCGCAAGCAAAGTTATTACAAAGTGGCAAGTTAGACTTAGTCAACAGTAAGGGAAGTACTTACAGTGTACTGGTAGGGTGAGGTCATCAGGTAGTTTTACATTCTTTGTGTCTATATGTTTGTGTGTGTATGCATATGGAAGCCAGGTGTTATTCCTTAGTTACTATCCACCCTTTACATTTTTTTTTCTTATTTAATGTATTTTGTCTGCATGTCTGTGGACCATGTGTCTCCCTGGTGCCTACAGAGGCTAGAAGTGGGCATCCAATTGCCTGAAACTGGAGTTAAGAAAGTCGTGAACTTGGGTCCTCTGCAAGAGCAGCTAGTATGCTTAACTGCTGAGCCATCTCTCCAGGCCCTGCCTTCTTTTGAGGCAAGCTGTATCCTGGCACAGACTATGTTGGCAAACCATTGAGCCCTGGAGTGTATCTGTCTCTATACTCTGGAGGTCTGGGATTCCAAATGCATGCTGCCAAACCTAGGTATCTGTTCAAGGGTTTGGGGATTGAACCAGGTGTTGCTGACCTTTAAGGCAACCCCCTTTTGGCTTCTACAAAAGTTCTTTGTGATGTTGCAAAATTCAAATAACGATATTGAGAAGACTAAATGTTCCATTTGAAAATGAAAACTCAGGATCACTTTGTTCCTGTGGAAGTGAAGAACATACTTTCGTTGACCATTTTGGGGGATAACAGTAGCAACTAGAGCCCTACTCTTTCCTCTTCCCTCCCATACTCCTTAAGAGGCTTTCTCTGGTTATCATTTTAGTTTAAACGCATTTACCGATTTCTGGGGCCAGTTCTCTCAGAACCCCAGGAGAGCTGTGTCCAGGTCTGTTTTTCCCAAAAGTTGTCTGATTCTTATTTTTATTACATTTAAAAATTCTGCCTCAAGTGCTGAGGTCAGAGGACAACTTGAGAGTTGGTTCTCTCCTCCCCACTGAGTGGGCCCCCAGGATTCAATTCAGGTTGTAGGGCTTGGTGACAGGCCACCTTGATGGCTCGGCTGAGTTTTACCAGAGCTACTCACACCCCTATGACAGCTGAAAACCTATGCCCTCACCCTTGTGGGGAGACAGAGGAAAAGAACGGGGTCTGCATGTGTCTCATCATGCTGGCCTTCACAGGACAAAAAGCCTAGCTTAGTGTCCTCAGGTTAGCTGGGAGACCACATCAGCAAAGACCCAGAGAACCTGGCTGCGAGGCCCTGCAGCCTTCTAATGCATGGCGCAGCTCACTAGTTTTGAAGACAGCAGACTCAGGCAGGTGTCCTCCCATTCTGCGCACACAGGCATACACCTAGCCTTCTCTTTGGCAATTTAAAGGTAAAAAATATGATGTATAAAGTTTTAGAATATATAATCAGAAAGCAACTTTTTAAAGTTCATTTTATAGAAGCAGTCGGTAAACCTGACAAGGGCTACACGTTAAGCAGCTAACTGGGTAACCCTGTGGTCTCTGCCCCACGGATTTCAGTTGTCCTTGTGTCAATAAAGTAGCCACAGAAGACATTAACAAACCTGTGGGTATTCTCTGATCAAACCAATTACTTGAAGATGTGAAAAACATACATTTCAGATACAAGAACAGGTGTGTGTGGATGCATCCCAGGCCACTGTCTGTGTTTCCTCTCTGTGTGGGAACTTGCTCACATACTAGAACAGGCGTGTGTGGATGTGTCCCAGGCTGCTATCTGTGGAGTTTCCTCTCTGCATGGGAACTCACTCACAGTGAAGACCTGCCTTGACCACAGGTCCACCTAAGCAGCTTTGAAAGGGTCTGCCAGACATATGTGCTAGGTCACACCTGATGGGGAAAAAAAGCCAGAACACTTCCCACAACCAAGAAAAGGATCAGAATAAACTTGAGAACCCATCTGAATTTGAAAAATAGGCTTTATTTTAACCAGTGGTATTGTCTGACATCCTATGGCATACCAGATTACAGCCAAGTTCACAAATACGAATAAACAGCAGTTTTCTCGTTCCCTTGTCTTCCGATGGAGAAAGTGGGCGGCGGCCTTGTGCTGTGGATGCCAGGAGCTCTCTGCCAGCTCTCGCTTTGAGTCCGGGCCCTGGAGCACAGCCTTGACACAGCGTGGTCACATGTGCAAAGACGTCTTCAATAAAATACCAGAGCAGAGCTTTGTTGGAAATCATACTTGGCATTCAAAAACCAGACACTGTGACTAACCCATCTTGATGGGTTGATGTGGAGTTGAACTGCATATTGAGGCGGGCGGCAAGGCCTGGCCAGTCTGCCTCCTTCTGGACTCCAGGTGATTCAGGGTCATACCCTGCCCCATGGAGTATGCATGTCCCTGCACTGACAGAAATGGAGACACCTTGACCTAAATACAAGACCTGTTATGTCCAACACTGGAATCGGTTTTACACTTTCTTACTGCACAAAAAAGCTTAAATATATGGGTCCTCATATAGCACAAAGTGCCCGAAATTCAGAAAATTATGCAAACAGTTCTTCACCCCTGAGGATTCATGTTTATAAAGGTGAAAATACAAAATATTAAAATAATTTGCCCTTTCTCCCCATCAGAAGGAACCACACTCTCTAAGGATTCCTACAACATACAAAATTCCAAGACAAAATTGCTTTCTCCCCAAATCGATACTGAAATCAGCATCAAGCTGCCCGGGGGTTGGGGGCCCTTAGAAGAGAGGGACCTGTGACTACTTGGTTTTGTGTCTAACAACCCTGTTTTGAGAAAGAGAGTAAGAGGAGTTCCTGGGTTCAGGAGCTCTCGCTTCTTCCTTCGTTCAGTTTTCAGCTTTCTTAGCTGGTTACTACCACGAGTGAGGAGAACATCATTTCCAGAGCTGGGACAGTCCTAGGGGAGTTGGCGACATCAGATGGCAAGGGTTCGGTGCTCTGTCTGTCCGGTTTTCCTGCACCATGAGCACCTGGAGGGTCAGTTGTGTTCAACACAACGTAGTTGGAGTGAGGAGCAGCCGTGTGCCCATGGCGTCAGCTGAGGCGGTGGACAGGAACTGCTGGGAAGTCTTCACGCGCCTGGCCCAGGGCTTCCAGAAGACAGGACAAGCTCCAAGAGCACAGCATGCAAACACACCTGCACTCGGCCAGATGTGAAGATGACACACACAAGAAGAAGCTACTGATGGCAGGAACCTGTGCCTGGCCCTGGAGACCCCTGCACTGAGGTGAACGGTAAGCATAGAAAACAGCTTGCTCCTGGAAGTGAGGGAGAGCGGCTGCACACACACGCATGCACACACATGCACCCATGGCCTCCTTGAACGCTGCCTTGTTTTTTCCAGCTCCCCGCTGGCCATCCAACAGCCCTGTGCACTTGCCTGGCTCAGAACATCAGCAGCTGAGATTCTGTAACTACGCGCCCTTCTCTCCTTTTAAGGCACACACAGACTGGCAGCTTTGAACACACCTGTCAGGTCCTGAGGACATTAAGCAAGCTAATCACAGGCTAGAGCCCAGGAGCCAGTTGGTTCTCTTGGGCTTTATGCATGGCTGAGGGATAGCCTCAGACCTGAAGCAGCCTCTCTCTGTCACTGTGATATGGTAAAGACAGGGCCACAGGAGAAGACAAAGTGGCAAGGTAACGAGGAACAGGGATCTATGACTGTTTCTTACTTTGACTTAACACACACGTCCCTATGGAGATGGCAGTACCCACTGGCCTGCCTAGACTCTGAGAAAGCAGGCAGACTGCCACGGAGCAGCCATGACTCATGACGTCACTACCATCACAATGACTTCCACAAGGATAGGTGGACAGACAGACAGACACACACACATACTACACACATACATGCACCCCCTTCCACCATGAAGGAATCTTTCAACAAGAGGCACTTGAATGGTATTTGGAGAGTTCCCGAGAAAAGGCCTTCCCCTCACAGTGAAGTGGGATAGACAGAGTGGACACCAGGCGCTCAGGACTCCATCTCCTCTTGGTCAAGGGGTGGCGGTACAAAACTCATGACTTCATCGTAGGTCAGGCCTAGGGCAGGGAAGGGAGGGAGGGAGGGAGGTGTGAGACGCAAAGCAGACGCTCAGCGCCTCCCTCAGGTGTGGTGAGGAACTGCATTCATCTGCCTTGCTTTTTTGCTCATGACCTGCAGCAGAGCAGCTGCAGTTCCAGGACACGGAGAGACTGTCACCCCACTCACTCCATCCTGCAAGGTGCTCCTCCCAAGTGCTCCCCGGAGCAGCACTGCACTCTGCACACAGCGAGGCAGCCCCGCTCTGGAGTCTATGCAGAACCGACCTGTGATTTACAAAGGGTGAGGAGATGCGGCTCCATCCCGGCCGTCCCTAACTAGGCCAAAAGTAAGCTATTAAGCCTCTCGTCCTGGTTCTGTGCTGAAATACACTGGACCCTCTGCATCCTGAGAAGATGCTGTAACTGTAACCCCAGAACCTCAAAGCTCTATGTCAACGCACAGGGCTGTGCACTCTATCTACAAACCCACCAGGGAACATACGCACCCAAGACCCTGGCTATGAGTTTAGAGATCCACTAGTAACCACTCACAAGGGTTTTATTCAGACAGGTTCTCACGTAGCCCAGGATAGCCTCAAACTACCTATGTGGTTGTGAATAACTTTACAGACTTTTTTTTTTTTTTAAACTTTAAACTTTCAATCTGATTCCCAAGTGCTCAGGATCACAAGTGTATTCAAAATATTAGGCTGCCATAAGTTCTCGCTTTCCCTAAGGCTTCTGATTAGTGAGAATCACTTAGAAAAGATTTTAAAAAATAAGTTATTGAGTTGGGCAAGTAGTTCAGTGGTAGAACACTTGCATAGTATGTGTGAGTCCTAGGTCTAATCTCCAGCACTGTTCAAAAAGATTACATAAGCTGGGTTTGGTAGTGCACGCTTTTAATCCCAGCACTCGGGAGGCAGGGACAGGTAGATCTGAGTTTGAGGCTAGCCTGGTCTACAAAGTGAATTCCTCTGAGTGACTACACAGAGAAAAACCCTGGGTCAAACAAACAAACAAACAAACAAACAAACATGAATAAAAGGAAAGCAAGCTCAAGGCCCAGGCTAGCCCGCCCTGGACTCACTCTTCCACTCATCTATAAGGAGGTCCCTGCTCTCAAAGGACTGGTCGTAAGGGTCGGCCACCGGCTCATCGTCAGGGTCGTGGTACTGAGCAAAGTAGGCATGCGCGAGAGCCTGGGCTGCTGTGATCCGCTTGTCCGAGTCCAGAACGAGCATCTTCTCCAGCAGGTCGACGGCTGTCACACCAGAGAAGAGGAGGAGGAGAGCACAAGACATTAGTGACAGCACTGTGCAAGTCCCAAGCGTCTTTCATATCCACACAAAGCACCCTTGAAGGTGTCTGTTTCTGCACGCAAGTCCTTTCCTGTGTTATTATGTGCTGAATGCCTCTGGCACATTTTAAGAACATTGCTGAGGTTTTTACAATAAACAATCCTCCCCCAAGCCTCCCTCTCCCCATTCGCCTTGGTTCTCGTGTGTCGACCCTCCGGGTGTTTGCACAGCATCATCAGAGGCTTCCGCTCTTTTGTGTGCTCTACCGTACCCCTCCCAGTTTTCTCTAGTCTTTAGATTTACCACAAACCAGAAATTACATCTTAATCGTTGGTAAGAATGAAGTCAGACATACTGGGTAAAAACCATGTCACAGATGAGGCTGTGAACTGGGGCACCACAGCCACGAGCTCCAAGCTGTTGGACCTAAGGTTGGTTGGCATCTGCCTCTTTCCCCTTTCTCCCCAGGTGAGTAGTGGGGACATGTCTGTCTTCTGGTGATCACCAGTTACTTTTGGCAATGGCTTCCGGCATCTACTACTGATTTTCTTCTCTCCCAAAAGCAATGACCTCATTAGAGGCTACGGAGCAGACCTGCTTGCTTCTGTCTGATGAGGATGTCCCGCTTAGGAGGATAGCTTCGTACAGAGCAGCTATCACACGAAACAGAAAGGCTTTCTAACCTCCATAGGTTCTTTTATGTGTGTTTAAGTATGTCTGCACTACAGTGTATGCCTGCTGGCTGAAAATCTGAACGCCAGCAGAGGGCACTGGACCCTGGATGTAGAATTAAAGACAGTTGCAAGCCACCAGGTGGGTACAGGGACTCAAAACAAGGGCCCCTCCCTCGGCAGGGCAGCAGCAGTGCTCTTAAGCACTGGGCCATCGGTACAGCTCCAGATGAATTCTTCAGTGTGGAAGGCTGTGGGTACTGAGGAGAACTTGCTGAAGAGATGATGGACCTCTGCTCTCCTGAGTGATTACAGACCCTGCAGCCTGAACTCCAGTTACTCACAGAAATACAGGCTTTGAGGGCACAGAGGAAACAGCAAAGTGCATACGCTAGCTCTCCAGTTTAGAGTACTAAGAGTGCTGGGATATAGCCAGTAAAGTGTGCATAAGGCCTTGGATGGTGGCACCCACTGTAACCCTAGCATTTAACAGACCACATGACTCTGATTTCAACCCTGAAGCACGAGGTAGACTGCCTGCATTCAGACTCTTCTCATGGTCTTCTACAAGTCTGCTGACTTGATACTCAACGTGAGTGAGTAGGTGCCTGCCACCCTAAGGTAAAAAGTTGTATGTCCTCAGGGCCAAAGTACTTAGCTGAGGAACAAGGTCAGAAGAACAAGACTTTTCAAGCATGGAGGCAGACATAAATAGACACTCTAAGATCAAAGGGCAACGTGAAGTCCTCAGCTGTGTTTGAGACTAGCAGTGGTGCGAAGCCTGTGACTGACAACAGGCTGTTCATATTTATATCGCTGGTGTGCAGCCCAGCTAGCACGCTGGGGACAGCTAGGACAGCCGTCGGTAACAGCATGTTCCTTCTGCCCAGCACTTGGCAATGGGCTGCCAGGCACGTTTGGACGTGAGCAGGCTGTGAGGAGCACCAGATGGGCCAGAGCTTCCTTTCAGTCTCCAGCAGCCGGACTCACTCCTGTAAGCCGGTTCTTCTAGTGTCTAAACGAGGCTGTCGATCACGTCGGTCAGAGAAGACTCCAACACTGTGCACTGTACATCTGACGTGTGAGGACTCGGAGGTGGAATCATCATGGAAAGACTACAGGTCACAGACCCTCACCTGGATGCTGCAGCTCAAATAAGCTACAGAAAGCCCAGTGAGCCCAAACGACAGGGAGGCCACAAACCTAACCCAACCTGTCAGCACTGTGCCGCCTGAGGCCTGAACGGTGTAGCTTAGGCTGGACTCCCTCCTCCAGGAATCAGGGACCTCACTTGCTACAGGAATCATGACCACAGCCACAGCCACGCCTTGGCACATGGCTATGGATGGAGTTCTTGAAAGGGAGACAGCTTCTGCCTCTCCCAGACATCAGCCCTTCAAAGGATAAAGTAACTCTGGCAGATGTCTTCTGGAACCCTCGGAAAGAGACATGATCCACAAGGACTTAAGTGCACTGACTTTACAGTGACATCTGCAGGAATGGGAGAGTGGGAGACAGCAGAGGACACATGCTCGCTCCCTTCTCATGGCAGGGAGACGTGGTCTGATCCTTCTCCATCCACTACTGCTCACTACACAGAGAGAGGGACGAGAACTTCAGCTAATGTCCTTACTGTAACCACCCATCTTTAAGGACAAGCAGGACACACTCTGAGCTACCACTGTCACCTCCGTGTGCCAGGTGACCCTGGAGGTGATGGGCAGAAAGGCGATGAGCCACCCCAACGTCTGAGACGGCAAATTAAAGCTGCAAGGCAGCAGGTTACACCATGAAGGGCAGAGTCTGCAGAGTGGAGGGCATCAGGACCCAGGACTGGGCATTAAGCACGCATCTGTGCCTGTCTTCTGTTCTTGGCTGGGCTCCACCAGTAGCTGAAAGGGTCGCACTTCCCTCCTTCCCCCTAGTTCCCTGTTCTCCACTTTCACTGCCCTGTCCTGTCCACCACCATATTCTGTGAGCATGTGAACATACAAGCCTATGAGCGTACACTCTTTCTTTAAATGTGACAATATAGACAGAAATAGCCATATTTAAGACCCAAAAGTTACTTAAAGGTACTCTTTTTAGTCAAAAGAATAAAACTTCAAGTCCCTAATTTATGTCACAAAAATAAGATCATGATCAACTCACCCAGGGGGTTGGCACCAATGAACACATTTGCGAAGTTCATCTTCGGCATCTGGGCCAGAGACTGAATGTAGTTTCTTGCCTGTAACAACACAAACTCTGAGAATGGCTGTGTTCAGAGTATTACTGATCCCGAGGCTGAGGCCCGCCATCCTCCAGTGCAGACATTGCCTGGGTGCTCCCTTCAGGCTCACCCTGCTCGTAGCCACTGACCTCTTCTATTTGTGACCGCTGACTTCCTCCTTGCTGTCTCCCCACAGTTCTGTTTCATGTGACTGAGAGTGCTAACCAATCAACTACTCTTTTATAAGCTTTCTGGTCAAAGGGTCAGAAATTTAAAACCAGAACTGAGACTAAGAAGTCTTCTCCAGGCCCCCTTCCTAATCAGGTAGGTCACGAGGAAGAGCTGGCACTGAAGCAGACTCACTCGAATTTGAACCAGACACAGACATGCTGTAATCCCTTCCTACTAAACCATGTAGAACAGAAGAAGGAATGGAAGAGAGGTAAGAAGATCCATCTTGCCCAGAGAAGCCACCCTTCAATACAGACAAGAGCTGAAATGCAAACAATGTTGTTCCATGTCTGTCTGCTAGCCTGTTTCCCCAAAATACTAAGGACTCGTTTCAAGTACCTCCCAGTCACCTCTGATCATAAACTGGAGTTAGGTTATGAGCTGGTCAAGAACCTGATTCCCTGAGCGCTCATACTTGCTGTGAGTTACTTGTCTTTTAAACAACCCAGCACACCTATTAGCGTAAGGGACTTTACAGTGTGTGTTTGCATGCAGTCTTGTCCTGGTTGTAAAGTGGGTGGAGAGCAAAGCACACTAACGAACTGTGCTCCATGCACTGAGCCGTGGCCGCAGCACACCCTAACCACATACGCCTGCAGCGACACACATGCTATCTCAAGCACAAGAGTCAGAAAACCAAACGCCAGGGAACACTACCCCACGCTGTACTGTTGGCTCAATGACATTTCATTTCATCTCAAATGTCAACACCCTGCTAGCACACAGCCAACTGCTTTAGCAGTTCTTGGGGCACATGCAAGCGTTTGGTGACATCAGGAACTGCTAGCTACACACAGACACTATGAGAAGGTGGCCTCTGAGTTAGACCTCCCTGAACATGCTGTTTGTTCTCACCTCATGGCTTGGCATCCTGTTAATGAGATAGGCAGGGGGAGTCCCCGTCAGACGCATTATCTGCTGAAGCTGGTTAATATCTTAAGATGCCTCGTCAAGGGTATTGTTAAACACACAGTGTAAAGATCAATGCCAGCTGTTGTTGTTTTTTTTAAGTCAAAAGCTTTTTTAAGTCCCAAACAAAACAACTCTACTTCCCAACCAAACCAGGCCAGAGCCTAAGGCTGCATGTTCCAACATTCTTTGGAGAATGGCAGGAGCTCTTAGGCGTGTAGCCGGTGAGTGGTCATGCACACATGAAAATGAACTTTTCCTTAAGTGTCAACTTTAATGTCAACCGGATTGCTCCTTGATCCAGGATACCGGCCAGAGAACCATTTTCAAGTCCCAGTGGCCAAAACTTGTTGGGTACAGTGGCAAATGCAGAAGATGGAGATAATGGTGACGAAACTCTGGAGACCTAACATAGCCAACAGATCTACCTGAGGAGGAGGTTCAGTGCTGATGGCACAGGCTCTAGAGACACACCCTACAGGCTGCGGCACTTGGAGTGTGGGGACTATGCCAAGTCTCAAAGACACTGGCAGTGGTATATTTAAAAATGCATGCCACACATCTATAGGTAGGTGAAGAAGGGTACTTTAGGAGTGATGGCAAAGGCAAAACAGAAGCCACAGTTTGGCTGACAGCGTCAGCGCATGCCACAGTTACCCTCACACCTGTCCTGAGGGAACACGTTAACTTCAATGAACAGAAAGTTTAAGATGTTGTGTTCATCTGACAGGGGCAAAGTTGCATGAAGTTTCCGTTATTACATTTTCACATCTATTTGTGTGGTGGGAAGGAGCAGGGCATGCATAGGGCACGCATACCACTAATGGACGGAGGTCACTGGATCAGTCTCCAAGTTGTAGGAGTCAATTCTCTACCCACCGTGTGGGCCCTAGGAGTGCACTCAGGTCCCTCTGCTTCTGAGCCATCTCAGTGTCCTTACTCAAATGACAGGTCTACTAATTTCCCTCAGCTAGGCCACCAATTCACCAGGCACAGGCCACAGCTTCTGAAACGGAAACTGCCCGTTATCTCACGCTCCCTCTCAAAGTGATGACAGTATTCTAAACCTTACCCTGACTTAGTGAGCGACCTTTCTCCTCACTTAAGTGTCAAGTCATCCTTCAGCTGGAATCTCTTCTTTAATAAACCAGCCAAGTCATTTCACTCCTTCTTGGCTTCTCTGAATGAAAGGCTTCCCTTTCCTTCCACATCAGCAGGAACCCCGCTTGAAGGTCTGGTTATTGCTAATGCATTTGCCCTTTCTCTACCTGAGTTCAGAGATGGGCTGGCTCACTCTGCGACAGACTTTGGACTCCCCTTGCAAACTGCACACTGAACCATGCTCTGTATACTGAGAGGACAAACTCGGTGAACCAGCCACAGCAGGACTAAGCTAAGCTCACACGCTCACACTCTGTCATGCTCTCCCTGCATGTGGCATGTACAGATCAGCCACTTGTCATCTGGGGTCAGGAAGATGTATTCTGAAGGAACAGGGGCAGGGATCACGCCTTTGCTTCCTTGGCTTTGTGAACCGTGTCAGAACACTAAGCAGTGAGTGCTGTCCTGGGGCCTCTGCCATGACCCGGCCAGCTTTCTGTTAGTCAGACCCAGTGTCCTTGTCCACACTGGCTTCTCTGTCCTGTTCTTCCCAGAAGGAATGAATTATTCAGTGTTCTGCTGACTACAACTCTTTATTAATGTCCTTCCTTTTAAATTTTTCTTTATAGGCATACTCACCCAGCTTTATCTCATCTGTATGTAGGTACTGTGTGCTCCCCACCCCCCAGGGGTTCTAGGGACTAGACTCATGGCCATGCTGATGTAACTGAGCCACATCCACAACAGCTGTTTTGTTTTTTTGTTTTAAAAAAAAAAGTGTCTTACATTAAGCCCAGGCTGGCCTCAAAGTTGCTATGTAGGTCAGTTCCAAAGCTCAGTTCTTCTGCCTCTGCCTCTAAGGGCTGGGGGGTTACAGGCCTGCACCATCACATTTGGTGCTCTGAAGATTTCAAAAGTACTGAGTGGTGTCATCAACATTAAATTAACCTTCCCGTTCCCTTTCAACATTTAGACTATCACTACCCACTTCTGACAATTCTGCAGGGAAGCTCTTTTCTCACTACGGTACTCAACCGAGTTATCACTGAGAGGATGTTTATCTTGGTATCTGATTTTGTCCATTGCTGCACTAGAACTGTTCAAATGTATGATGTGCTCACTTCATGTTAAGATAAAAGACATCTCATTATTAGGCCATGTATCCAGCTTTATGTAACCCCTGGGGGGTGGGGAGCACACAGTACCTACATACAGATGAGATAAAGCTGGGTGAGTATACATAAAAAAATCTTATTTATTTTTATTTTACGTAAAAGTATACTATAGCTGTCTTCAGACACACCAGGAGAGGGCACTGGATCCCATTACAATGGATGATACCATGTGGGTGCTGGGAATGGAACTCAGGACCTCTGGAAGAGCAGTCAATGCTCTTAACCACTGAGCCATCTCTCCAGAGCCCCAGCATTGTTTCTTAAACAGAAATGATGGGTAGGTGAAGGGTAGATATTCCCTGTCTCATACGTGTGCTTCAGAACCTGTAGCAAGCAGCACCTATCTACAAAGCAGATGCTGGAGTGGGAGGACACAGAACTGCTGGCAGTAAAACTCAGACGGGGAGGAATGGCCACCTCAGTGTCACTAGCACTACTTACTAGCTGGCTGAACTCCTACCCAAGGCCCAGCCTGCTCCATATCCTCTTACCAGCCAGTGCTTCCTAAACACCCCCCTCACAGCAGCTTTGGCTCTCCACCCTCAGCTTCTGCATTTCAAAAGCACCTCTTCAGTTGTGGTCAATACCTCTGACAATGACTCTCAAAACAGCCATTGCAGGAGGCGATTAGCTCCCATTACCAGAACCGGAGGGATCACTGCCTCTGCCCAGTGAGTCAGAGCATGACTCAGGCAAGTCACGGCTTTTGTGTTTTTGCTTCTTTATCTTAAAGGAGTAAATGAAACAAAATAAAATAGGCCCAGCAACCCTTTCACGTTCCTCAGAAAAGAAATTCAGAAGCTGTTCTTAGCTCCAGGGTCCTTTATGTACAGCCACACAGGAGATGTGGGGTCTGGATTTTGTCAGGGGAGGTGACTCCAGTGTTGCTGTTTGCCTGAAGCTACCCCACTGCCTTCCTAGCTGGGCAGAAGGCCCTTCTATTGGGACGTGGTCGGAGGGGAACCTAGGCGTGCACAGCTGGGGCTTGGCACCTCCATTCATTTCCGGGGGGGGGGGGGGGATGAGAGGAAGGAGGGGCTGTCCTAGCTTCCTCAAAGTTTCTGGCTCCAGAAAGTGACCAACAGATTAAAAAACAAAACAAAGCAAAAAAACAAAACAAAAAACAAAAAACTCATGGCTGAAGTAAACCAGAGTCACCTCTTATGGCCTCCACGGAGAAAGCACAAGCCCCAGGCGGCCTCTTGTGCTATTCATTGTATTGACCAAGGTTCCTGGAGGAGCTCAGGGCCATCTGCAGGTTGTCATGAGGGGAGGAAGCTGTTCTGTGTGGTCTGAGGTGGGGAGAGGAGCCTCATGGACAGACCCTGGCACAGGAGGTGCCCCTCTAGGGAAGTAAAGAGCGGGTCACTTTGAGACAAGGCACGCTTCACCCTTCAGAATTAAGGTCAGACTAGCACATGGTAAGTGTCAGACATGAGATGCTCACCATAAAGTGAGAAGGGCTCTCGAGCATGTGGGCACCTTTAGAGAGAAGTCAGGGCTCAGGAGGACACACACATTTCCCATTAATCTCTCGGAATGAACTGGAATCTCAACTCTCAGTTTTATTAGCATACAATTGCCCCAAAGGGGTTCCCATGACCTTAAGTCCACACCCCAGATAAAGTGAGTTCAGAATAAAACACACTCATGCATGCAAGTGGGCACATGCAGGCTCACATGTGTGCACACACGCACAGCTCAGAAATCACACACAGCACACGGGCATACAAACATTCCAAAGTCAGAGTGCAGAATGACCAAAGGCAAGTGGCAGAGGCCCCAAAGGGTAGCAATTACAATCAAATCATCAACTCACAGACTCTGAGGAGATTTTCTTCAGAAGCTCAGCCCCTGGGGTTCCAACGAGTCTTAAAATGAGCTTCAACTGATCAATATCTAATGGTGGACTATAAAGGAAAATGTCGGGACAAAATAAAAGTGAAAAACAAAACAAAACAATAGTGAGCAAAATAAAACACAACAAACAAAACATCCCAATAATGGAAATGAAACCCCCAAACAAGGCCAACATGGTGGAATAACCTGGGTGGAAGGCTTCTGCAGGGTGGCCACTTTCAGCATGACTTACTTCTCCTGTAGAAAGGTTGAAAATAGCACCACACATACACATCTGTCACCATCATGCAGCAGGAAGTAAAGCTACTGGGGTTGGGTCTTAGACACCAGAGGCCACACTACTCAGTCCCAGCCTCCACCTCACCTTCCACCAAGGCACTAGGAGCCAGCTAAGCAGAGAATGCTGGCAAGCAGAGGCAGAGCACAGGCTATGCACAGTTTATTTGTGACTATTCCCTGAAGGCTTGACCTAATGAGCTTGTATTCTGGCAGCTGGGAGCCAGCTCTCATCCATCCCAGAGCCTGCTGTTCACTTGAGTGTGCCCTCTGGAGACATTCCCCTCTAGGAAGCAGAGCATGTGAGGGACAGGCAACCGGCAGAGGGCGCTACCTCATTATGGAGGACACCAGGCTTCAACCCTAATCCAAGTTTAACAATTTCACACACTAAAGGCTTTATGAATAAAGGCAAAGGGCCCAGAATATTCATTCTGCCATCCAAAACCTCAGAACATATGAGCACGCGTCCACCGGAAGTCACAGAGTCCGTTTACTCTCGTTGCCTTCAGTCAGAGAATAAAAAATTTAAAAAGGCCTTTATATTTTCTGTGACTATCTGAATAGCTTTTTCACACTTAAGCTGACGTGTGTGTGTGTGGGTGTGTGGGTGG